ACAACAAGATCAAACGTCAACGCATCAAAATGGTTATGCCGCGGTGATGGCAGCTGCAGCAAACGTCAAGGACGTTTGGTCAGCGACCTCGGGAGCGAACAGCCAGAGTAATTCGGTCGTACGTCCTTCCGCGTGTACCCCAGAGAGTACAAGGGTTAGTAGCTACGGTGGCCTCGTAGGCGGTGATCCGGCATCGAGTCCCGGTAACAACAGTTCGTCAAGATCCCTTACTTCGTCCTGGAACACCTGCAGTTTAAACTCGTCCGCGAGTCAACCGGTCGCCACGCAACTACATCAGCAACCTACTGCCAACCATACCTTCTATCCCTGGATGGCTATAGCAGGTGAGTTTGCATTCATAAATGCTCTCTTATACGACTATTATCATAACAGCCGCGATGAAATATAGGAGCCGCTATGGTTAGGGGAAATGTGGGGAGCCACGTGGTCGGGAAGGCGTGGTGGATCAGGCTCGCCCGTCTGGTTATACCGGACTAAATTGTTAAAATTGCTTCCACGCGATCAAATTACCTATAGAAGTTGTCTAGAACGAGATTATGGAATAGAATGTTTCTCTCGTCGCGAACGGATAAAAAATTTTAACGGATGAAAAATTTTCTGTTGCGTAAACAACATGAGTTATTTCATCGTCCCTTCGTGTATAAAAAAAGCGGAAGGCGTAGATATGTCCTGCTCGTCGAATATAGCTTATCATGGCGCCACTACATTCGAACGCGATGAAATTTTTCGCGAAGTCTATTTGTACGTCATTTTGAAATACGACACATGTCCATCGTGAAACCCGAGATCGCAGATTTATAATCGTTGACAAAACTAAAAACATTCCATTGCTATTGTCTTTTGATCGAATATATATAGTAATAAAAATAAATGCATAGCAAAGATTGGCAATAAAAAACACCGCGTTTATTTGTTATTAATATATGTATTTCAAAATTTATTTTATTCGACATTTTTCTAAGTATAATTTGCCGAATGGGTAAATTATTATCTTATGTATAATAGTAGTATTATCACACATATAATGATGACATAAAAATCAAATAAATATATGTTTATTTATAAGACAAAAAATTATGTTATCATGGGCATGATAATTTTGTAATAATTTTTCTTGCAAAAATAAATAGAAAGCGTAGAATGAAATTTTTTCAAACAAAGTTTTGTTTCTGAAAAAAATCTATAATTAAATATATTGAGCGAAAATATATTTTTATCGATGTTCTCGAGGAAACGAAATCATATAGAAAACAAATTCATGTCTACATTTTTTATTTATTTTGCACGAGAAACCGCTCCCCGTTCGCAATTGTACAATCGTTACTGCGACATTCTAGATATATATGATTGCTTTTAAATTGCTAGTCTTACCCTACCTTTTCGTATACGAAATGTAAGTTTTATGAGTTTTTCATTTTCACGTATGTAATGTCAACGCGCGCGGGCTATGTCGTGGAAAATCGGCCGTGTATCTTGGCAAAATTATGTCTGGTAGATAGGTAGAATGGAGTCAAGTGCGTGTAAAATCGTTGGGTACGCCGGGTATAATGGGGAAGTCCTCGTCCAATTGGGGGTTCAAGTGCCTTCCCCACTGTACTCACCCCACCGGAACCCCGAATTCCGGTAGTCAGCTGTTTCTAGCGATGTCTTTGTCCTTTTCATTACGAGAGAGAGAGAGGAGAAACAGAGAGAGAGAGAGAAGACACTCTCGAATAACCTTCTGCTTTGCCGTTGGTAGATATATAATCATCAAGGCCTCGTGGGTTCTATAACACTTTCGGTCAGAGTGTTTTCTTTTACCACAGCTCAGCTGAGATCCTAGATTCCTAGCTAGTATAGTTCTTTTTACTATCCCTTTCTTTTTTCTTTGCTCCAAGCCGCTTCATTTTTGTCGGCAGGAATCTCCTTCCCGCGTTCTTCGGTCCGGATTAAAGGTCAGACATTTTTTCTTTATCTTCGATTATACAAGAGATTTTAGGAAAGAAATTATATCCTAAGAGCCATTTTAGATATTATTCAGTTAATTCTATAATACTATATACGCGAGTTATTTTTTATAAAAATATATAATTTTTAATAAATTTCTAATTGATTACACGTATACATATATATTTTATATCGTCAACTTTATATCGTTATGATTTTTAGTTTGTAAATTAAATAATGTGCAAATTGAGTCACTGAAGAAACTTGAAATAGTACTTTATGCGTGTATGTATATCTCGTTTCCCTATTTAAATTTAAAGAAACTATACCTCCCGATCACATTTATCTTTGAACCAATTAGGTGTTTTGGATCATTGATTATGGGTTGCAAATTGCCGCGATGATACATGGAATGTAGTGCTCGTAGAAGGAATCGCAGGAATGAGAAAAAGCAATTGATCGGTCGCATACTCGTATAACAGGTTCTATGCATTCGCGAATTGAAAGTCGTTGACTCATTTCACACTTTCTATCAAGTTCTTTTCAGTATTTGTTGGCACAATCGGGCGGGCAGGAAAATTTATTGGTACAGCAATTATCGATCGATTATTTCCGAGATAGATTAAGGTTAAATATGGAGTCATCAATTTATGTCGCTAATCACATCAATCATTTACGAGTTGATTTTTATAACATCAATTGCAGAAAATTTATTACAATTTCCGTGATATCGTATATTTCAAACAATTGATTAGAAGATGTACATATAAGAATATGGCATATTTCTAATATCGAAAACTTTCATCACGTTTGTATACATTTTATTATTATCTATATTATATATATAATTCACATTTTTTTAAATATCACAAATACATGATATGGAATGTAACTACATTAGAATTAAAAATTGATATAAATTGTACTATACGACACAATAATAATAGACCATAAGTCTTATCGCTTACAGCTATTGCCAAATGCTAAAAATTGATGTATAAGCATTTGTGCTCATTGTTCTCTATGTTCCTTCTTCAAATATTCTCTCTCAATCTCTCTTTCTCTTTCTTGGCAATGGTAATTATATACCTAGAATGCATGCCAGTAAAATACTACATCTGTCGCTTAATTTATCGCACTTTTAATTGTATTTGTGTGTGTATCGCAAGTATATTGTAAACTATTGCGCGAGCGATGTTTAATTTATATAAATATGAAAGCTATACATAAGCATGGCGTGTCTCTGTTTTATGTTATCAGATATTAAAAGAAACACGTCTACTACACTTGCAACAAGTTGTTTTTCATGAAGGATATAATTTCCTTACGTATTGTTGCGTCTTCCAGTTTTTATAAATAGACACACGTATGTTTCATAAATTATATAAAAGTTATTTAGGACATCTACTGTTTCTTGTTATAATAAGAAATTAATTAACTATTACTTTTCTATTTATTTATTTTTACTTTTTTCCTTTCATCTACTTTAATTTTTTTAATGCCTTGTATAATATACATTAATTAATTTACACTGCAGTAATAATATTTGTACATAATTATTATTATTATTAATGATTATTAGAAGAAATTCTAAGTCAGCCATAAATAAATATTTCATTTTATTATTTTTTATATCTGCCTAACATTAGTTTACATATGTTAAAATTTATGCGTGTATTCTCATTATCTTTTTTTATTAATTATTTAATAAGTGTTATATTAACTAATATTATATATACATATATACACATTAAATAATAAGAAAATTGGTTTAGTTTTACAATGCAAAAAGTTAATTAAAATTAAAATTTTAAATTTAGAAGAGATTTATAAGTTCAGGACATATTTTTTCATGAGTAAATTGTCTTTAAAAACTTAGCAATATTCAATGAGAAGTATATCTTCCTTTATAGAGCTGGATCACTTTCTCAGGATACACTCAAACGCGAACAATATTTATCACTTCTCATTGAGGGGTTGACTGCGTCTACAGGGTAATTAGAGGGCGCGACGATAGAGGTTGGGGTACTATTTAGGCATCGCTTCATTCAAGCCTATTGAGAGAGAGCCTCTTTTACGGTACAGATCTGAAAAATGGTCCTTTTTAAAGTCACATTAAGGGTCGCGCGATAACCTGATACAGGCATATTAATCAAGATAAATATGCCCGATGGACACACCGTTAACGATAGCTCTGTAGCTTCCGTTTCTAAAATGTGCATTCTTTATTTCTGATATGTTTAAAGAAAGTTATCTAAAAAAAATCTAATTTGACGATTATCTCCGACAAATAGTCTTTGTCAGGAAAAAAAGCAATTAATTTTAATGTAATAAATTCGAAAATACTGAGAATCAAAAAAGAAAATTGATATCACTCGAGTACTCAATCCAATTGTGCGCGCGATACGGCCAAAGAAGTACTCAACGAACCTTGAATTCCTTCACCGGATTCCCGCGTAAAAGCCACGTGGTTGCCCGCGTTGTTGCGTCGCTCCCGGAGTTGGAAAGGAGTAGTAGCACTACTTTCTACAATACGACGGCTGCGAGTAGGTGTTACGTACCTCGGGGAGCAACCTCGTTCAATATAAAGCAGCTAGGAACAACGCTGTAACCGTAACTTTGACGTTTACGACAACGAAATCGTGCTCTACTCGTTTATCCCTCCTTCTCATGAAACCTCCACGCTTTTGCTACTATGGCCGTTTACGAGGCTTGTCGGCAATGCAGTACTCTACCCCCGTATCGACGAAAATCAGCTCCGATGTAGGATTCCCCTTTCACAGGGAAACATATCGGAGTATTGTCTTACATGTAAATTCAAAGTTTTTCCTCGCGCGATCTATTGATGCATCATTATTATATATTTATAAAATGAATATATTATTAAAAAAATAATATATTATTTAAACAACTGAATAAACAAATAATTTATTCTTGTAAATATACGTCTGATGGTTATTCTAAGTTTATTATTTTCATCGAAATATTTTATCGAAATAATTAATTTTCATTTGTTTGTATAATTAAAAATAAAATATAAAAGGGAATCGCTAAATGTAATACAATATATAATATATGATGGAGAGAATACAATATAAAAAAGGGCGTTCATCCATACAGACTTGCCTTTGCGTACCAACACGTATTTTAAAATCAATTTTTGCGTACTCTATTAAAGGATTATGTGACGGATACGCGTCGAGTATAGGCGTGCATGTTGCACACCGGTGATCAAGTGGTTCGGGATCTCTCCTCCATGTGTATAAAGGTGTACGAAATATTCAGGCACACGTAACGTATAGGCCACTCACACTATCGAGCCGCGCGACCTAAAGAGCCCAAGTGAATGCGTTCCTCGAATATGGGGAGAGCCCTTTCCATGTGTGTTGCTCCGTTGGCCCGGATGAAGTATGACGTACGAGCCTCTCCGTATGACTTACTACGCCCTTTTTTCCCTTCTCCACGCCCGCCGCTCTCCTACGGTACTGTTCAACCGAAAAACATTGGGGTCTTCTTAAAAATGCGCGCTCTTTAGTTGCAATGTGCATTCTTTGATGGCAGGGGAAAGCAGGTAGAAATGAAATGCAAGTCGATGCCCCTCGAGGCGTTTTCATTGCAAAAATCCTTTTGTAACATATCATCGTCGTGCATCTCATATTTGGTAATGAATATGTCTGAAACATACAAATGTCAAAATTTAAAAGTCGTAAACAAACGTTAGATATATATTTTTTATTTTATTATTATTTTTTCATTCATTATGTGATTTATATTTATGCATTTTTTCTTATGCTAAATATATATCTCATACTTATGTGCAATTTTTATCACTGAAAAGAAAATTAATTAATGAACGAAATATACTAGTAAGAAATAAGTAAAAAGTATAAGAAAGTTCCAAATAATTTGGTTATAATTATCATTAAAATAATTAAATCAAAATTTGCACAAATCTCTTTCCTTTGCAATCATTAATTAGTTTTATCGAGAATATTCGTATCATTCTTTTACGTAAACGGAAATGTATTTATTTTGCTGAACTGCAATTATTACCACAATTGAAAAGTCATAATATTTAATTATCCATATGTTTTTCGATTTTTTTGTTCATGAAACTATGTTGGTGGTGTTAAATAATTATGTGTGATTGAAACGGGCGCGTAAAAATATGAAACAAAAACATCGGCATCACGAGCGATTAGCGAGAACGCAATAATTTTCATGATTATTGCGATGTAATATCATTGCAAGTCGACCGATCGAAAAATTAATGTTGTACTCAGCGAGGTAGACTAATTTTAAAGTACAACCTCGGCGCCATCAGTCAAGACGGTGTGTATACAAGTACGATATGTACATCTCTCGCGTACCTTTCGCATTTTAATTTAAGCATCGCCTTGCGACCAATCACGCTATTCGCTCTATACGTAGCCCGACTTAAGGTATAATCTTTGATCGATCGTATCGCTCGCGTCTTGTCCCACGTCTCGCTTCTTCCTCTCGTAACTAGTAATTTTAACCCGCATGGTGCCTCTCGAAGGACTTTCAGTAAGCTTGTTATTATTATTCTTGTTATTATTATGCAGATCTCGCTCTTATTATTATTCCAGTCTTTCCTTTTTTATAAGTAATAAAATAATTATTAAATATTTCGAATAAATATCTGTCTGATCGAATATACCTTGAATAGTTTGACGTAATAAAAATAGTACCAGTTCTAACTTTAGATAGAATAGATAGTGCGTACAGTCGAAACGGAATTACCGAAATTGTTTGATCGATTCCTAGTGTGTCGGAAGATCCGATTTGATTTCCACAGATATCAGGTACATTTCGAGCAAGACCAACGTGAAAGTCCTCATTACAAAGAAGAATGATCAGCCTCTATTTCTTGCTATTTTCTTCGGTTTAATTTTATTGCACTCTATTGTGTCTAACTCGTATTGCAGTTTCATCTAAACGTCGTCTGCCAAGACGCATCTCATTAGCCGTAACCTTCGCAAGGAGTTACGTATGAATTCCTCGCGTCTAGGAATTATAATGAGGAAAAAACAGAAGCAGGTGGATATGCGTGAGCATAAGCGTAACGCGCGCCGAGGCGTTGAGGTACTGATCGGTACGTCGCGTCGCCAGCAGTTGCCTCTACCAGGGTTCTCAATTTGATGAACGAGCTGTTCGCATGTACGATTCGTACGAGCTAGCCCGATTTTATATACAGCCTACAACAGCCGTACGCTATCTCCCGTCTCGTTTTGCAAATTTCATACCGCAGAAGTTATCGTTTGCGGTTGCGAATGTATACATACATACTGTCAGCGTTCGCGTTTCGATCAATTAATTAAGGATCAGATTTCTCTAACATTGTTTAAAATAAAGGTACACGTTTTTCCTGATGAGTTTGTTCTATTTTACTATTCAATTTTAGTAAATCTCATCGTTTATTCAGAAATTTGACATATAGCAAAAATTCTTCAAGAAATTTTTTAAGTACACTTATCTACATGATTCTCGTATCTTTATCAAAATGTCTTTTTCAAACATTTCGGTGATAATATTAAAAATTGGAATTGAAAGATGAAATTAAAAATTGAAATTAATTTTTCATTAAATCTCACGATTTTATTCAGAGATTTGATATATAACAAAAATTTTTCAAGAAGTTTTTTAAGCATAATTATCTACGTGATTCTCATATCTTTATCAAAATTTCTTTTTGAAACATTTCGGTGGTAAAATTAAAAATTGGAATTGAAAATTTAAATTAAAAATTGAAATTAATTTGCCATTAAGTCTCACGATTTTATTCAGAGATTTGACATATAGCAAAATTCGTCAAAAGTTTTTTAAACACACTTATCTATGAAGTTCTTGATCAAACATTTTTTAATGATTTACATGGAATTAAAATATTTATTATTGAAATAGTTATAGATTATTTAATGATTAGCATACATTAGGAATCTGGCATTGACGAGGTAGAAATCTATATATAGGCTAAAGTTGTCTATATACATATATTTTGCTCTAGGCTAAGATAATACATACTTTGGACCGGCCGTGCTCTTCGTAGGTATGAAGAATGTGTTTAGTTGCTCGGCGATCGGAACGACTATACCGCCAGACACAAAGGCCATGTCTAGTTGTGGCCGCAGGGAAAGACGGGTATATAGTAAAATAATTGAATCAAAAAACTTATGTTCACGTTTTTCACGACTCTTGATTGTCACTCATGGATAAAGAAATATTATTAAAAAATTATACATCACTTATCTAAGTAGGTATTTACTGGAATAATAACATATTACGATTAATTTTATTTTGGCTTTCTCGATCAATATTTTCGAATCACTATTATGTCATATTGACTATATGTCAATATAAATTTACATTATTTTTTCAAAGTAGGTTTGTCATTTTCTCAGCAAAATATCCTTTGGGCTATTTTATAAATACCAGGAAAATTTTTTAAACACTTTATGTAAAAAGACACATTTTTTCTAATTAATATAACTTTATATTATTGTCGCGACGCGAAGAAGCAGCGAAGAATTATTGATGGCGTCATCCGGCTTATAAGGTACTCGTTGTTTTAATCGAGTCGCCGGACTGACAAAAAATATTTCCGAAGCGATATTCTCCTGAGCCTGTTTCTTATTCTCCTTTCGTCTCACGTACCATCTGCGAAGCAGACCTCGGCGCGTCAATATTCAATTAATACACAACGATATAATCGGGTCGGTTGATACTGCCAATAATCTTCCGCGTTCACATAACTCTTATACAGCACTTTTTGCACCGACAAACCTTGCCCACCGTTCTTCTCGTCCGCGTCGATGGGCGGCCATTACGGACAGCACCTGCCACCCTGGCTACCCGACCTGACCACAATACCTTTACTACTACCTCCATTATTGAGAGAACATTGTAAGTCTTCAACAATCTTACCAACATGATTTAAAACTTACGACTCAGAGGTTAGACGTAACCACAAATTGGGAAAATAAACATCAAGAAATTCTCTTTTTCTTTCTCATACTATTATGTGTACTATTTTTCTTATAAAAATTATAAATTATTATACAATATATAATTGTATTAGTTAAGAAAATTTATTGTGTTTTAACTTATTTAAAGAACATTATATAAAATATAGCATAATATTTTCTATTTATTGCAATGATTATTTTTATCAAGATATGAAAATTAATGAATTTTATATTCTTACAAGAGTTCTGGTGATAATTATTAGATAATATCCATTTTCTTTAATTTGCTGTTATATAATAAACAACTATTAAGTTTATTCCACGAAAGTTTCACAATTTATTTTTAAATGTATTATAAAATAAGAGACAGATGACTCATTACATAATCTTTTCTAATATATCTTGGTTGAGAATCGTGTGCCGAGAAATTCAAAAGCTGAAGACGTACATTTATATCGAGTAGGACAGAAAGAGGCAAAGGGAACTTTAAAATTAAGAAGTTTTCGCTCAGCAACGTCTTTTGAAAGGTCGGGAAGTTGTAGACAGATAAATTATGCCCCTGACGTTCCTACCATTTGTGTTCGACCTTTACTAGCTGTGCGGTAAATGCCTAAACTAAGTTCCGATTCAATCTATACAGATATATTGTACGTCCGTGATATATATGACACCATTTTTTCAATTATTTCAATAAACAAGTAAATATAAAAACGATGCCGTTGACACAATTTTTTGTAAAAAAATTTAATGAATTAACTGATTGATGAAGAGAAAGCCTTTACAATTGACTCACAATTACGTCAATGAAACGATGAATGAGCAATCTGCAAAACGTACCGAGATTCTAATCTGGAAGTGCTTTTTGTGCTAATGAAAATGTACGATGCACGGAGCGTTTGTAGTGAAATTACGTATTCGTCACGTGCGCCTATTTTATCAGTATGCGTAGAGAGTGTGTTAAAGAGAAAGAGAGACAGAAGAATGGAGAGAGAGAGAAAGACAGAGACAGAAAGGGAGAGAGATGCAGCTAGTCTGTAACATTGTGTAGCGATTAAGCGTTCGAGTTGAGCATTATGTAACTCAACGACGTCACGTTGCTCGACTGTCATGAATATATGTGTCCCGCTCACGCGCGCACACATGTACAAAAGTTATGACGTATTGCCATCACGACATATTTATTAAACGCTACGAACGATATTAGGCCGGCTCGCGAACCGACATTACGAGCTTAAGTACGGACAAACATTTGTTGTGCGCCATTAGTGCTCCGATAATTTACGGCTACTGTCCTCTCTGCCCTTTGCACGCCTCCGACGTTTTTGCATCTCGTTGTCTCTCTGTCCTTTGTCCTGTCTTCGACGGTAATATCTAATTCGGCGTGAGATTTACCTTTTACCGAGATATAATGAGCTCCGAGACCATTTTTGTCACTTGAAAACTGCACGCTGTGGTTATTTTTATTATTTACGACGATGCGTATCTCCTTGTGTTTTGTAACAATTGTTTATGACGCGTAATTCTCTTTCTCACTCTTCACGGGAATATAATTAACGCGGAGATCGATTTGTAAGTCTTTTCCGTCTCGATAAGAATTAAATCTCGTACAAGATACTACATCGATACGATACAATAGGTGTCCGCGTGCTTTATGAACTGTTCATTAGAAACGCTGATGTGGCAACCAG